CCAGGTAGTGATACCTGCAGGCCAGAAAAGTCAAAGAGAGTGATGTGGAAGAGGATAACTGAGTGGTTATGTTTTACTGGTAATCAGGAAAGGTCTCTCTGAGGAGGTAACATTGAAGCTGGTTTCTGAAGGCCAGGAGGGAAGCAGCCCTGCACAGATTAGGGTATAACCAGTCCTGACAGAGGGAACCGCTAGTGCAAATGCCTGGAGGTAGGAATGAGCCCAATACCCCGAGACACAGAAAGAACACCAATGTGGCTGGAGTGCAGTGGGTGAGCAGGAGAGAGGTAGAAGCTGAAGAAGGAAAAGGAGGCAGGGGCTAGCTCACAGGGCCTTTATAAACCAGTGGAAGGAATTTGGGTTTTATTGCAAGTGCAGTTAAAAGCCAGTGGAAAGCTGTGGCATGGTCTGACTATACTTAAAATCTCCTCTCTGTCATCATCTCATCTTACCTCCAGGGCTCCAGTGTCCTGGTTTCGGGACGGAGAACCAAGGCTGCTCCAGGGACCAGACTCTGGGCTAGGGCCTGAACTGGTCCTGGCCCGGGCAGACAGCACTGACGAGGGCACCTACATCTGCCGGACCCTGGGTGGTGCACTTGGGGGCACAGTGACCCTGCAGCTGGGCTGTGAGTTGGGAAGGGTGGAAGTAATGAGACATGGGGTTCCTGAGGGAATTCGGGACCTGAGTGAGCCCTCTGGGATAGGGAGGACGTGGGGACTGCTCAGTCTCCAGCTATACCATGTGCCTCTAGACCCCCCAGCCCGCCCTGTTGTCTCCTGCCAAGCAGCTGACTATGAGAACTTCTCCTGCACTTGGAGTCCCAGCCAGGTCAGCGGTTTACCTACCCGCTACCTCACCTCCTACAGGTGTGTGCATGATCCGGTGAGTGTGCCTACACATTTGGGTGTGCTGGCACAACATGGTATGGGAGGCAGGGAGGGAGGTTCTGAGGAAGGCCTCAGAGAGGGCAGAGGGCCCTCTTCTCCTTCCTGACTTCAGATGGCCCCCTCCCCACCAGGAAGAAGACGGTACCAGGAGCTGATGGGCAGAGGTAGGACATGAGGGAGAGACTGGGGGTTCCAAATGGGTCCCACATTCCAAAGTCCAAGACCACATCCTCCCTCCTAGGAGGAGTCCATCCACAGGGCCCTGGCCATGCCCACAGGACCCCCTAGGGGCTTCCCGCTGTGTGGTGCATGGGGCAGAGTTCTGGAGCCAGTACCGGATTAATGTGACTGAGGTGAACCCACTGGGTGCCAGCACACGCCTGCTGGATGTGAGCTTGCAGAGCATCTGTGAGTACCCACCCCAGCCCACCACAGAGACCCCAATAGATTTAGACCCATCCACCCTCAGAGCTCCCAAACAGTCGCCTCCCAACATAGATTCCATTGCACACACATATGGCCCTGTGGAGACTAAGAAGCCAAAGGATCAGAGCCCAGGAGGCATGGTTACCTCAGCACACACTTTAGAGGCTGCTGCCACTGCCTGCAAGTCCTTCCTGGCTGCCTAGCCTCAGAGCTGACTCCCTGCTTCTAGGCTGTGTGCTTACGGCAGCCACAGCTCATGTCCTCCCTGCCCAAGGAAAGCCTGTGCTGGCCCCTCCTTCCTCTTGATCTGCGCGTGGGAGTGGGGCACTAAAACTCTCGCTGGAATTTGGGCCAGTTCATCTTCCTTGGATGAAAAGAACAATTGCTCTTTTATTCACTCAAAAAACACTTCAAAAGCTCACCCCCAGATTTCGGTTCATTTTATAATAAAGATGACAGGTTCTGAGCCTAATGGATGGTCAAGTTTAAGATTTCCCCTTGCCTCTTGGGAGCACCAGGCTAAGGCGCCTTTAAACACACACCTTGGGAAATGCTGGGGAAGGGCGGGTACCTGTCCCCTACCCTGACTTTGTCTCACTGCCCTCAGTGCGCCCTGACCCACCCCAGGGGCTACAGGTGGAGTCAGTACCAGGTTATCCCAGACGCCTGCGTGCCAGCTGGACATACCCGGCCTCCTGGCCCCGCCAGCCCCACTTCCTGCTCAAGTTCCGGCTCCAGTACCGTCCGCTGCAGCATCCAGCCTGGTCCACGGTGAGGCCTGCAGTGCATCCCAACCTGTCTCTGGTTTCGTGAACCTGGGCGTTCTGCATAGCTTCCCAGCACTGGCAGTCCACTGAAGCCTTGACGCCTCCCGCTACAGAGTGTTCCCTGTGGGCCTGCCTTTGTGCTGGGGGCTGGGGTTGCGGTGGTGACTGACACCCTGAGTCTTTGCCCTGTGGGCTGTAACTATGTAGTGTAAGCCCATCTGTGGGAAGACAGCAGTGGCTTTAAAAAAATAACTCTTCTTGTAACCATAGAGCCTAGTCAAGAAAATAAATAAATAAAAAATAACTCTTATAGGAAAAGGAGTGCCTTTTACCCAGAGGCACATTCTCACACAAACACTCACATCCCTAGCTGAGAATGATAGTGAATTCCCACATCTGGAGATGTCAAAGATTGTCTGGAATCAGGTCTGGAAAGCAGCATCATCTGATAATAGCCAGTATTTATTTAGTGCTGTTTCTGCCTGCTGGGCACCATGCCACACCATATCTTGTTTAGGGATATTGACCCTTATTTTACAAATGAAGAAACTGAGGCATAGAAAGCCCCAAAGGTCACTAAGTATGTGGTTTAGCAAAAATTCTAACCCAGGTAGCTTGACACCATCCCCCTTCAATCACTACACACTACCATCTTCCAAACTCTGGGTGTATACCCAAGCCCAGCAGACACCCAACGTGAGGCCTAGATAGCTCCACTAGGCTGACAAGGACAGGACTGGGAGGAAGGGGTGCTCTTTGCAGACTGCGGCTGGGTGGGCTCTGCACTTACAACTTGGATGTCACACCAACAAACCATCTTCACCCTCAGGTGGAACCAGCTGGATTGGAGGAGGTGATCACAGATGCTGTGGCTGGGCTGCCCCATGCTGTACGGGTCAGTGCCCGGGACTTTTTGGATGCTGGCACCTGGAGTGCCTGGAGCCCAGAAGCCTGGGGCACTCCAAGCACTGGTGAGAGACGAAGCCAAAGAAAGAGACAAAGACCCCACCCCAAAGCATCTCTCAGATGGATGGGTTCACGAAAAGCGGCCATGAACATGCCCTGCCTACCCAGGCATTGCAATTGCTGTCCCAGGCTTCAGCCTCAGTTGCCTGCAGCCCTGCCTTAGCTTCAGTCCTGCCTCTCAGCCTCCACCCCTGCATTTCCAGGCTTTACTTCCACCAGCTACATCCTCAAGGATCTGGCCATGCCCTTTCAGGCACCCCTACTTCCAACCCAGTCCTTGGCCCCACCTGCAGGACCTGGCCCCTGCCCCTACCACATGTGGACACTTCACAGGTCTCAACTTCCTTTAGGGTCCCTACCGAAGGAAATACCAGCCGGAGGCCACCTACACATGCAGCCAGAGGCGGAGCCTCAGGTGGACAGCCCGGCTCCTCCAAGGCCCTCCCTTCAACCAGACCCGAGGCCGCTTGGTGAGCTTGGGCAGATGGGCAAAAGTTGTAGAGGACCAAAAGCCCCAGAGAGAAGGGGCATTGAGCTTGGTCAGGCTTGCTCTCACAGTGGCATGTGACCGTCCCCCTCAGATCACAGAGACCCCCTGGAGCAGGTGGCTGTGCTGGCATCTTTGGGAATCTTCTCTTTCCTGGGACTGGTGGCTGGGGCCCTGGCAGTGGGGCTCTGGTAAGTGACTGCCATTGGTCCCTCAGTCTCTGATCCCTGCAGATGCTCTGATGCCCATAGACCACATTTATCCCCACCCTTCATGATTTCCCATTGACTTTCCACTGAACCTGATTCTGGAACTACCTCCCCTTGCCTCCATCCCCCACACCCCACTTCATGATTCTCCTGATTCCTCTCCTGACCCTTTACGAATAACCCTTTTGGAGGAGACTGAGATGCTTCACATTGTTGGGGAGACAGCTGCCTTTTTATGCCCCAGGCTGAAGCTGAGACAGAGTGGGAAGGATGGACCCCAAAAGCCTGGGTTCTTGGCCCCAATGATTCCAGTGGACAAGCTTCCAGGTGAGTAAGACCTCCAGGAGGTTTGGACTCGGAGAAGTGTGCCCCATTTTGAGAGTGTCTGGATTAAGAGCTGGTTGCCCTAGTCATTTTCTGGATGTTGGGAATCCGAGTTGGGTTTCTCATTATGATATCTAGGCTGAGGATTGGGCCTTTCATTCTTGAGTCCCTTGGCTCATAAGTGAGTCTCTTTCCTCTCTCTCCGGATACTGAGGATCCCAGATGGACTCCTCTCCTCATTTTCAGGGTGTTAGACTCAGAGCTAGATATAGATCTTTTTTGGGGGGTGTCTTAGATCAGTGCTGGGTCCCCTCCCTCATTTTTGGCATGCGTGGGCCCAGAGCTAGATCCACTCCCTCATCCTTAGGATGTTGAAGGATCCCTAAGAATTGGGCTCCTCTATTCATTCTCAGCGCTGGGCTCAGAACTGGGTCACCTCCCTCATTCTTAGGGTGTCTGGGTCAAGATCCAGTCCTACTATCTCTCCTGATTTGCCTCCTACTTCTTCTAGGAGCTCCAAACCTGTAGAGGACCCAGGAGGGCTTCAGCTGATTCCACCTATAACTCTGTCTTGCTGGTGTGGATGGATGGACAGATAGAACCCAGGCAGGACAGTAGATCCCTATGGACAGGGTCTCAGCTGGAAGTTTTGTTTGGAGTCCATTTCTGTGAGACCCTGTATTCCAAACTTGCCAGCTGAAAGTTGCCTGGACCTCTGATTTCATCCCACAGCTGGGGTTCCACCCGAGGAACATGTGCAGATATGTATGTTTGTGTCCATGTGTGACCATGTGTATGTGAGACAGGGAACGTGTGTTCTCTGCATGCATGTATGTATGTAGGTGCCTGGGGAGTGTGTGTGGGTCCTTGGCTCTTGGCCTTGCCCCTTGCAGGGGCTGCGAAAATGCAAATAAAGAGAACGAGGAAGTTCTTGGGGATCACACTCAGAGATTATTGTCCAATGCTGCTTTATTATTTTAGCTGTTGGGGGCTCCAGCCCATCTTCCTGGGAGCCCCAAATTCAGGTTGGGCAAAGTTCTCTGAAGCCTTCTCCCATGGCGCTCAAACCACCGAGCCAGGCTGCGGTTCTGGGGGTGAACGCATATGCTGCGTCGAGCCATGTGAAGCCTGGGGAGGGAAAGGTCCAAAGCTATGCCCATAGCTTGGGGATGAGGTTAGGGTCCAGGGATCAAGGGCAAGAACTAGATGAAAACCTGAGTCAGCATCAGAATTAGCAGCTGGGGTTGGGGTTGGGATCAGCATCACGGGTTGGGACTGAGGTCAGAGTCGGGGGTATCGGGGTAGCGGTCAGAGCTCACACAAAAGCTTGGAGATGACAGTCCCCATCAGCCTGCTGAAGTTCCACCCGGATGACCTTCCTCAGTAGCTTGTTTGAGAGTGGCTGTCGGTAGAGCTGAGTACAGCAGGTAGTGCTGGGTGCTATTAGCAATGCTAGGGGACAAAAGGGCCATGTGTTCAGGGGGGTCCTCAGCAAGAACCTCTCCATCAGAGATTAGAGGTTAGGTTGGACTTCCTGGGCCTCTTTCCGTTCATCCCATTCACCCCTTCCCCCCAGCTTTCTACACCCCCAAGTACTTACCTGCTCCAGGGTCTGGGCTTAGGAGCAACAATAGCAGGAGGAGGCTGCTAGTCAGTGAGGGCTCTTTCATGCTGCTCAGCCTGGAAACTTCCTTCTCTCTCCTCCTCCTCCTCTACCTTTTATCTGGTGCCTTTTGCCTGGGGGCACCAGGTGAGTCAGAGGCAGGTGAAGATGTAGTGCTTATTCTGTGACCCGAATTCTTAGTTTGTTGTCACAGACCCCTTCCTCTTCTAGGCCTGCCATTTCCCATGGGCTTCTAAGCCCTGGGCAGAGAAGCTGGGGAAAGAGTTAGTGAGTGCATGATGTGGGGACTGATGACACAGTGACTAAGAGCAGTCAAGGATCCACACTGGCATCTAATGATAGACATTCACACTCATATACCCATAGCCACCCATTCACGGTCACACCTTGATTACTTAGTCAACCTCACAAAGTCATATGCACCATAGACAAAACCATATAGCCCCGTTATTCCCCAAGTTGCACTCTCACATAGCTGTTTTCACAATCATCCAGTCACACTCACAATCAATCACACTAGCACACACAGATTCTGACGGGGGAGTTGTGGGTGGGGTGGGAGCAGAGGGCAGGCCAGCACCAACTTGCCTTCATCTTCCCCTCCCCACTTCCTGCCCTGGCCTGCCTGTCTTACTAGGAAAAACTGATGGGAATGGGTCCCTAAGGCAGGTCCTTCTGGCTAAGGACAGGTCTTGGCTGAGGCCAGAGAAGCTGGGAGAAGGCCCTTTTTGGTAATGTTGATAGTATAGTGCCTTGGAGATGCTGAGGCGGGGGCTGCTTTCCCCCAGAAGATGAGACAAGGAGGAAAAGTGGGGTGGATGAGGAGGGATGATAAAAGCTCTTTGGTGCCAGGTTGCTGTTGCTGTTGTCAAAACAGCTGAAAGGCCCAAAAAATATTACCTTCTTGTTTTTGCCTAGTCCTGTTCCAGGAATGTCAACCTCTTGCCAGTAGGGGCCTGGGGTCTCCAGATTCAGTCCCTGACTTGTTGGAGACAAACTCATGAGCTCAATTACCTCTCTTGTTCTACTCAAATTCCTATCTTTTTCCACTGTGGGCCTGGAGGAACACCTTGGCTCCTGACTCAGGTTCAGTAATAAACACACTCACTCATGTCCAACCCTTACACCCTCCGCCTCCCATCCTCCAGCGGCTCCAGCCCCAACCTCCCATCTCCTTCCTGTCTTTCTCTTCTATCCTCACCCAGCGCTCATTCCCCTCCTACCCACCTCCCCCCAATGCAAATTCCTACCCCTCTTCATCCAGTCCTTTCCAGGAAGCTGGGAACTGCTTAGGGTGGGACAGGGGTAGGGGCATGCTGCTGGGCTTAGTGCTCCTGGCTCCTTGAAGAATTTCCCACTTTTGGTCTAGGGATTTCAATCCTCAAGTCCTGCTCTGTATAATGAAACATAAATTGAGTCACAACCCAATAATCCAGCCTTTATCTGGTTGTTGCAGAGGTACCTTCTACAGTCTTCTGGGGCCAGCCATGTTCTATGGGGCAGGCTTTCTCTTGGGATAGGACTCATGCCTTCTCTGGGCAGCCCTTTCTGCTGCAGGACTGCTTCAACAATCTAGAGGGACTTCAGCTCTCAAAGTAGGGACTAACCCCCTTCCTGGCTGAAAATTTGAGACTCTCCTCCTTCCTGTCCAGGGTGAGGCTTGAGGGCCATGCCATGGAGTTTGTCTCTGGGATCTTCAGGTCTTCTGCCAGCATCCTGGTGAGATGTGAGCCCAGGGCTAGACAGTGCACTCCACATTTGAAGGGGCCTTTATTTTTTAACCCTGGAAGTCCTAGAGACAGATGAAGGGGTTTTTGATGTAGACATTGTGAGGAAATGGCTCAAGAGCTGGGGCACTTTCCTGAAGCTGACCACAACCCAGAGGTCATTCATCTTGAACTTCTGGTACCAGAGGACTTAGGGTCCCTCTCCCACCCTCCATCTAGACTTGCACCCCAGAGCTTGGGTGTAGCCACTGAGGAAGTCCCAAGGAAATCCCCCAGGTTCCGTAGTCTTATCATAGACCTTTCCTCATCAGCTGGCTGCCTGCCACACACTTTGTGGTCTTTCCTGGACTTGTCAGTTCAGAGACCTTTAGAAGGCCGGAAACAAATTCTTCCACCTCTCCTCAAAGGTAAGGCCAAGTCTTCTGCCCAACCGCAGTCTGTTGTGGCAGGGGCAGCCACAGGCTGAAAGTCAGCTTTAGCCCTGGCCGGCTACTGGGTTGTCTCTTTAACTTAATCATCTGGTGCCCTTTCTGGAGCTGGGGCCAGTCCCTAACTGAAAGCCCCACAGAGCAGTCCTTAACTCTCACTACTTTAGGAGTCAGGGGGTCCCAGGCTGACTGGGTGACAAGACAGAAGGGCGTGGCAGGGAGGAGTGGCCCTTGGACTCTCCTAGGGAGACAGTAAGAACTGCTGGGTGGGCTGATGCCAAGTATCTCTAAGCTTGAATCATACTAGAGGAGCCAGAAGTTGGAATATTAACTGGAGGAAAGGTCTCCAACGCAAGTCACTCCCCTGTGGCAGGCAGCTTCTAGGAATCTTTCCCTCCTCTCACTTACAGCCTACAGCCTACACTTCTGGCTTAAAATGTTTTAGACGTACTCCCAGGAAGAGAAGATTCTTCAGATACCTGGCAAAGTCCTGGGTAGGAGGAAGGTGTGAAGAGAGAGCTGGGTTATGGGAACAGATCAATGTGGGGCTAAGGTTGAGAGGAAGATCAGGCCAGGATTTAGTTCTCTCCATATAGGCAACTCAAAGTGATGGGTGTTTTTTTTCGGGGGGTGGAATGGTGAAGGGATGGGGTAGCAGAGTCACAGGAGGCCTGATACTGATGGGGGGGCCCTTAGGAATAACGGGAGCCTTGACATGGAAGGGCACCCTAACAGGGAGGGAAGCCCTGTCAGTAAGGAAACAGCCCCTGTGCAGAGGGGCTCTCAGCTCGAATGGCGGCAGCGGCGATAGAGTCAAGAGGTCAGCACGGTGGGCTTCGGCTTAAATCTTTAATGCACCGGCTGGCTGGGCAGCGGCGGTGGGGGTGCGGCTGGGGAGGCTACGACCCGAGCGCTGGGGAGCAGGGCCCAGGCCGCTCGACAGACAGCTCATCAGGCCCCGCAAAGACTCCAGTTTCTGCTCCCCGGGGTGCGCCGAGCTGTGGGGCGAGCCGACAGTGGCATGAGGCGGGCGGGGGGTACCGGATTCCCCCCGATCCGTCCTCAGAGATTGAGCCTCGTCCATGCCCAGGGCAGGTCCGCGGTATCGCAGCCCCCTCACCTCCGCTCCCTCCGCCACATGCGCAGCCAGGGGAAGAAGTAGAAACAGCCCCAATAGATCCTGCAGAGAAAAGGCAGAGCCGGGCGGGGCGGGGCGAGGCTGACCCCACAGACCCCGCCCCTCGGACGCCTCGCCTCGAGGACGGCTCCGCCCCGCCCCTTAAAGGCGGTCCTTCACAGCCCACGCCCCCTCGGACGCCCCGCCCCGCCCGCGCACCTCGCCCCCAGAGAACACGCACCCTCCCCCAACCCAGGAGCCGCCTGGTTCCTCCTCCGCAGAACCCCGCCTCCACTCACTCCTCCTCCGCCTCCAGCGCCACCTCGTATCTCCTCAATCCCGACATGTCCTGGGCTCCGAACGTCTCCTGGGGAGCAGCATGATTGAATCAAGGGTTCCCCAACCCCAGGTCCCCTTCTCCGTCATTCTCAGGACGAGTCTGACTAGCTTTCAGGTAATCTGAGGCTGGTGCCCTCGGGAAGCCTCAGTTGCCACACTGCGACAGGGTGGGATTTAGGAGGCACTACAAGTTAAGGTTAGGAGGTTGGTCATCTCGGGGACCTGGGGCATTTAGGGGGTCAGGGCGAGAGGTTTGGCAGTCATAGGGCTGGGAGATTTGGGGCTCTAGGTGAGGATTTTTAGGGGCTGAGGGTCACCTGGAGGGGGGCTGAGGGGTCGGCACAGCCTAAACTCCCGCCCTCCCTGGCTCCACCCCGGAAACAGACCGTTACCATTACGTCACTGGGACGACGTCGCGCTCTGGGGGTGGGGCTTGCCTATCACCCGGAAGAGGTGGAGCCAGTATTTCTCCCAGAGGGGGCGGAGTCAAAATGTCACTCTGGGAGGTGGAGCTAGGGGCTGTCACTAAAGGGGCGGAGTCAGGGTTTATTACGGTATCCGGCACAGGACCCTCTTTTATGGGGTTGGAGTCAGATTTTGGAGTTACACCCAGGGAGCGGAGGCCTCAGCACCAGGCGGCAGGAAAAGAACTTTGAGACTCTGTCCAGTACTATTTTCTGTTTTCCCAGTCAACACTCCTCATTTCCCCTCCTTGGCTCTGCCCTGCCAATTGCCTTTTTTGCCTGCCCCACTCCCCATGTATGACCCTGGGCTGAGAGGAATAGGCCCCCAGAGAGAACCCAGCCTAGGTCAGGCCAGGCTAAGGAAATGCTTGGCTGGGTGGCCTTGGTGAAGATACTGAATGGCCTGGAGGGGGGGGGGCCATAGCCCGTCCTCTCAGCTGAGACCTATCTTCCTGTGATTTTTTTTTTACCTTACAATCATTCAATCAACAGATACTTACTGAGTGTCTACTAGGTGCCAGGCAATGTGCTGGGTGTGGGGATATAATAGTAAAGACAAGCAGTCTCTGGCCTCAGCTTGTCACCTGGGGTGGGTTGGGGGTCAAAAGAGAATAATGAGATCTTTACAGTAAACATAGCAGGCTGGCTGGGGGAAGTAGAGAAAGCAGAGAGTGCTGTAGAAGAACTAGAAAGGGCAATTAACAAGGTGGAAGGTTGGAAATAGCTGCCCCAGACCTCTGACATCCCACCCAAGGCCCAATACTGAGCCATGGTTAGTCTGGAGAGGGAAGAGGAGAGCCTTGCGGCTGGACTGACTGCATGGAAGAGAGGGACAGAAATGAGTGAGGTGAAAGTTACCTTAGGTTGAAATATGAATAATGGATACCCCTATCCTCTCCTGCATCCCACCCTAGTTCTCCCTGTCATATCCTTCTTCCTCTGCCTGAGCCACAGACTGCAGACAGATCCACTGGTGCCAGGTGGCTTTATTGGAAGCACTGCAGTCTGGGTGTGGGAAAGCCGCGCCCTCACCACACTCACCCTCTCGCTCACACTCACACTCACATTGACACTCCAGGCCCTGCCCTGGCTGGGTCAGGTCTGGTGCAGAGGAGCTGGCGGCCTGGGCCTCCCTTCTGGTCCTTGGTTCCCTAGGCCAGGGTGATTCACATGTCTTCACTCAGGCACAGGGCTCCCTTTGGCGCTGTCATGGGCTAATGGCTGTGATGCTTGCTCTCAGGGTCATGGGCTGGACTCTTAGGGGCTCAGAGGGAGAAGGTTGGGTTGGGGAGGGCCAGGTCTTCTTTAGTCTCTGGATGATGTGGTCCACCCAGGGCTGATCTGGGAGTACACAGAGCTGGTGGCCCCTCAGTGTGGGTAATCTAGACTTGGAGAGAATGGATCCCTGGAGCTCAGCTTCCTGGAAGGCCTTGGTATGAGAGGCAGAAGGTAGGGACCATATCTGGGAACCTGCTGTAGGCACTTCCTTGTGGGAGGGACTGGGCAAGGAGAAGGAAAGTGAGATGGTGAGTGGACGCCTGGATGATGGAGGAAGTGACTGGAAGGGGAAGAGCCTGGACACTCTCCACCTCTTACTCACAGGACAAAGTCCCTCTGCAGCAGAAAGCACCAAAAATGTTCCCAGGAATTGGGTATTAGTTTTCTAAGAGGCAGAGTTCTCAGAGTCATTGGCATCACTCAGAGCTGGAGGGTGGGTATTAGATTTAGGGCATAAGGGACTCTAAGGTGGGAAGGCCACTATGGCTATGGCCTTCCCAACTTAGGATCACACCTGTGTCCAGCGCCATAGCTTTAGTGTTGCTCTCTCTTTCACCCACAGGCACTATCTTCTTCCTGTGACAAACCCAGGCTAGATGAGACTGAGCCTATAGAGAGAAGAGCAGCCAGAGGCTCCAGGACCCATCCAGGCACTGATACATAGAGGAACACCTGGGGCACAGGCACATCTGCATCACACAGGTGCACCCACAGGACACAGGCATACCCATACCACTCAGGCACACAGATGGCATAGGAATACACATGATGCATGAGTATACCCATGTCATACAGGGACATGCAGTCACCACAAGGGCACACCCATTTGGTACATGTATAGTCTCAGGTTCATACTCGGACCTGGATGTTGACATGAACTCACAGTCTCCTTCACAGACTCCCCAGACCTGTGCACCGGTCCCTGCTATGCCCCTCACCTTACTGTTTAGCCCCTGCCCCATTGTACCTCTTCTTGGCAAGAAGATCAACGTGCAGAGAGGACGAGTGGTGCCACGCTGGAGGCCATGCAGGATGGACAGGGATAGAGACATGGACAGAGTCCCTGGGAGCAGGTGCCCTGTGTGAGACTGTGTGTGAGGAGAGCAAGCAGGAGGGTGACCGCGAGGGTGAGGGAGTCCTTGGAAGCCTGTGAGGGTCCTGTGAGTGCGTGTGGGAGGCTATGGCTGTCTCCTGTTTATGGTCTGCTAAAGCTTTCATTTTCAACATTCAGAAATGTCCTCCCTTCTGGTGTATAATAAAGAATTTGGCCTTTGTCCCTGGTTCCTGAGACAGAGACTAAATCATTGGAATTTCCCAAGTAATAGGTGTGTTGAGCCCCTTAGATCACACCTGAGGTGTTTTTATTTTTGTTTCTGTTTTTGAGACAAGGTCTCTGTCTGTCACCCCTGCTAGAGTGAAGTGGCATCATCATGGCTCAGTGCAACCTCAAACTCCTGCGCTCAAGTGATCCTCCTGCCTCAGCCTCCCAAATAGCTGGGACTACGGGCTTGCGCCACCATGCCCAGCTAATTTTTCTATTTTTTGTAGAGACAGTGTCTCATTCTGACTCAGGCTCACACCTGAGTTTATGCTAAGAGATGAGATGACTCAGGATGGCAGCTGGTCACCAGAAAGACCAGCCATGTGATTAAAGGGTTGTGACTTAGAGCCAGCCTCACCTCTGGGGAGGGGAGGGGGACTAGAGATTAAGTTCAGGTATGTGGTTGACAGTTCAATCATGCCAATATAATGAAATCTCGGTAAAAACTCTGGACAGCAAAGCTCATAAAACTTCTGGCCGGTGCACACGTTGATGTGCCAGGAGGGTGGTACACCCTGTGTCTCCACAGGGAGAGACCAGAGAAGGAAGCTTTGCATTTGAGGTCCTCCCAGACCTCATCCTATGTGTCTCTTCGTTTGGCTTTTCCTGATTTACACCCTTTATAAAAGATTGTAAGCATACCACAACTTTCCTGAGTTCTATGAGTCATTCTAACAAATTATCAAAACTGAGGGTGGTAGTGAGAACCTCCCAGACTTACAGCAAGTTTCTCAGAAATGTGGGTGGCTTGGGGACCCTACTTGTGGCTGTCATCTAAAGTGGTGGCAGTCTTGTTGAGGACCTTCCCCCTAAACCTGTGGAGGCTGATGCTAGCTCAGGGTGGTTAGTGTCAGAAATGAATTGCAGTACATGAGTAGGTAGCAGAGTACCTTCCCACTGGATCCACTCCCCATGTCCCCCTCTTTGTGGAAGAACCTCTTTTCCCTTTCGTAACTCTCCTCAGTATCCTCCCTGCATCAATTTCTTGCTCGTTGGGTGGAGCTCTGAGAATCTCAGTAATCAGCAGTCTGGACAAGGGGAGGAGGGCGCTGTTACCGTTAGGGGAAGGTGTGCAAGGTTTGCAGCGCTGTGTCCTTGGAGGCATTTGAACCATCAGTCTCAAGGCTGCGGGTAGTGGTCAGGGTTTAGTTCAGGATTAGGGGTCAGGTAAGGAGTGTCTGTCTTTCCCAAGTTTCTTCTCACTCCCACCTCTTCTCTGTAGTCCTAAGACACATGGGGGTAGGAAAGATGGACATAGCCAGTCCCCCAGATTCCTTGAGGGAAGTCACAGGAGCAGGGTGAGGCTGGCTGAAGAAGGTCCCCTCCAGATTCTCCAGATCTCCCTAGGCCCATCATTGCAACTACACATCTGCTGTATGAGACCCATTCCTCTCATGGATAAGAAAAGCTAAAAGGAACATTCTTTGGAAGCTGGTCCAGCTCCCCTATCTCACATCTCTGGACTCTAGGACTTCACCCTCCGGGCCTAGCCAGCACTGTCCCTCTCCCTCATTGATCCATTTTCCTATGCCCCAGAGCTGAGTCAGAGGAATAGCTAGAGGCGAACCTGGCCTAGAACACCCCCTTCTACCATGCCCTCTCTGTCCTGGGAATTGAGAGGGATTTCTGAGGAGAGGGAGAGCTTACAGCCTGCAGAGAGACAAGAGGGAGACCCGTGAAGCAGGCTCATGTGCACTGGTTACCAGCTTGTCTGGGTCCAGTGAGACGGAGCACACTCACAGACAAGTCACGTGAAGTGGATTTATTACAGGCAGGAAGCTAGGGACAACAGAGGCCCCGGGTTCATTGTGAGCCAGGCCCCCAAGGCTCAAGAAAGCTGCTCAGGGCAGATGAAGTCTCATCTGCCAATGCCCCACTTGCACTTCAGCTAAGGGACCCCAGAAAGCAGCCCACCCTGGGTTTTATCCCCCCAGAGCAATATGAATTATTGGGCTAAAACACTGAAACACATTCTGTTTCTGGGGTGGGACTGGAACAGAGCCTGAGCTGTTCTGGCCAGCTCCCCTTTATCTCAAGATATTTCATTTCCAGCACATTCTTCAGTTATTCTTGAGAACTACAAGTGAGAAAGAGGGGAGAAATGGGTCAGTCCAAGGCCACCCAGAGAACTATCCTGCTAGATCCAAGAGACAGACCAGAGGAGGAGACCTCTCAGGAGAGACTATTGTGGGGTGCTATTCTGTTCCCCACTGTTAGCCCTAGAGTTTATGATGTGACAGATTTAACCGTGAGCTGTATTTTTCTGCCTTATCCATTCATCCATCCACCCATCCAT